AAGAACAGAAATTTATTTTCTCACAATTCTGCAATCTGTAAGTCCAAATCAGGATCTCGGCTGTGTTGATTTTTTTCTGTGAACCTCTCTCTTAGTTTCTTGGTGTCTGTCTTCCCTCTGTGTCTATTTTGCTCTTTTTATAACTCGGAAGTAAGTAGGTTTAGGACCCACCCCACTGTGGTATGACATCATTATCATAACAAAAGAAAAATACCTATTTCCAAACAGGGTCATATTTACAGATATGGGGTTAGAATTTCAACACATATTTCTAGGGACACAATTCAATCCATAACAGTGTCCTTAGTTCTGAAAAGGGCCTGTCTTCCCTTCTCCCCATAATTAACAATGCCATATTTTTTCAGTAAGAGGAACACTATTTCCGAGGGCAGGATCCATGGCTGTCCTTTTCTTTGTTGTGTCCCCGGCATTTGATGTATAACAGACACTCTATAAATGCTAGAGGAATGAATGAATGGTCTCACCTTCCACTCCTTTCTTCTTGGTTTTTCTGCTCTGTTCTCAGGGCATGCATCTAGATGGTGGCATGGGATTCCTTGATGACCTGTGGTCTGCACATCAAATCCCCCATCATAACATTATATATGGAAGTCCACTCTGAGGCCTGAGTAATAGCCATCTCCTCTTTCATTTCATAGTCATTCTCCCCTATCCTCTTCACTACTCCCCTGCTCTCCTTCTCTTCTCCTCCCATCCTCATACCAGGTTTGTTTTCCACTCCAGTTTCCTCCACGTCTTGACTGGAGGGACTTGAATTACCATTCCTTGGAGATGATTCTGAGCATTGCTGGGTCATTTCAAACAACCCAGGTCTCATTTCCACTCTGACCATGGCAACCTTGGTGATTGTGGCCATTGTTCACCTCCAAGCATAAGACTGGTACCAGCCAGGGAAGAGCAAAATGTGACCAAGCTTTTTTCTTCTGCCACCTTATTCAGAGAAGGTCTCAGAAGCCCAGGAGCATGAGGAAAGGGGAAACAGAAAAATGAGCACAGACTTCCCTTTCTCTTGTCACAGCAGTGATTTTTGGTAACTCTAGGTCTGGCCCAAAGTTCCTCTTCTGCTCAGGAGAGCTGGGCATCTCCTGAGTGTCCAGGAGAACTACCTAGTTTCCTGGACTGGAAGCGTAGCTGAGGCACTTGCCTCCTGCTCTGTCTTTTCTCCCCCCATGTTGTGGGGCCAGGGCTAGATAGAACACCTGGAGGGATGCACAGGGAAGGCACTCAGTAAATATCCCATGCAGATGACCATGGCCATTGGAAAATAGCTAGTGACTCATTCCTTGCCCTCCAAGTGGGAAATGAAACTCCTTATGGTTTGGGGGTTTTACAGCCACCTCTGAAACCCCAGAGGGCCCACAGTCCATTCTAGGAGTTTGGTGGCTTCTTGCTCGGCCTCCTCATGCTAGATCAGCCTTTTGCCCAGTGATCCTCAGGTTGTGTACCTGAGGCCTCCATTTCCATCACTCAGAGTAAATGCTCCCCAACTTTAGCGCCTTCCGACACAATAGGCTCCCGCTGAGTCAGGGTTCCTGATCCTTTCCTGGACTGCTGAGAGGGCATATGGAGATTTTATCAATAACTCATGCTACAAGCCAGCAGAGGTTTGGGAAAAGTCAACTCCTTGACAGAGAGGGAAGATACCACACACTCCTAAGGTGTGTTTTGCGGCAGATTCTCTCCGTCAAATGCCCCAAGAGGAGGCCAAGACCCCCGAAGGGTCCCTTCTACCAGAGTCTTGAGTAACTTGGATTCTTCTCTGTCCCAGGCCCTGGACTATGAGAGTTAGTGTATGTAGGGCCAGGAGTCAGGAGCAGAAGAGCTGAGGCCACTCTGGGGTTAGACTGTACCAAGCATGAGAACCCAGAAGCAGAACATTCTAATCCCTTCTAAGCCTGGTGAAACCAAAGCTCTGCAACCATATGAGTGGTTTGAGAGAGCGGTTGTAATTATAAAAGTTCAGAGGCAGGCAGTGAGTTAGATTGCGGATCTCCATTTGTGGGGTTAGCTGGTGTCAAAGGTTAGAGCAGAAGCAGGTCTGGAAGCTACAGACAGAATGTGGATAAGGGGCAGATGAGACAGGATGAATGGAACACCAGCACCCAGGACCATCTCCATCTTGGTGACCATTCTTCCTCCCCAGCACTTGGAAAGGGGGTCCTCACTGTGTTCCCTCAACCAGTCAGAGAAGCAGCTCTAGCCTGAGGCCCAGTTAGTGTGGAGAGAGAGAGCAGTGAGGGGCTTTTAAGCAGCAGGGAGGTAAGAGCTTCTCAAATATCAACAGCAGCAGAAGCCCTTGCAAGTACAGGTTGCTATTTCTTTGTCCCTGCTCATCTAACCTCTTACCCTAGTCCCTGGTACCACCCTCTCATCTATCTCCACTGGCTCAGACTCACTAAGGCCAGGCCAGCTTTCTAGTCATGTGGCCAGAGCTTTATTTCATGTCTAGGTAAGGTGTAAATCATGCTTTTCTTATGTCTTGGCTATGCAAATAAATGAGAACTGCTGGAGACAGTGGGAAGAAGCAGTAGCTTTTGGAAGTCAGATCCCAGTCCACAGGTTTCATAGTTCTCATGATCAGCCATCAGATCTTCCATTCATTTACTATCATCTATCCATACGTTTATTCTTCTATCCTCCATCCGTTTTTTCATCCACTGGTCCTCCATCCATCCAATTACCTAGATGAAGTTTCTTCCTTCCCTCCCTTTTCTTCTCCCTCTCCTCCTTCTTACCTTCCAACAAATATTTGTTTAGGGTCTGCTATGTAGTAGGTTTCTCAGATTTGGCAGACTTCTTCAAAGCATGAGAAGCTGCCCAGGAGAAAATTCAATCCTTCACGGAGCCCCAATTCAGCTCCTTTCTGCCCTGAGCGTCTTCCACAAGTATACATAAGGCTGCAGGGAGGGAGAGAGAAGGTAGGGTCAAAGAAGGGAAGAGAAAAGTGAGGACAGTTTTTGGTTTCATGTTGCTGAGCCTTCTGGTTTTGGGAAGCTCACAAGCTGCAGGAAGTAGGGAGAACCCAAGTTTTACATTTACATTTTTAATCTTCAAGTAACATTTTATAAAGACATAGTGTATCAGCTAAGATGCCTTGTAACAGAAGGTAGAATATTTTATTGCAGTGGTCTATGTGGTCGCTATGAGTCAGAATCGACTTGACGGCAATGGATTTTGGTTTTGGTTTCCAAACTAGTCTCCCTACTTCCAGGCTCCCGCTACCCCAATCTATGCTCTGTACCATGATCAGAATAATCTTTTAAAAAATTTCCCTGTCCACTTTTGCCAAAAACACAATACAACATTATTTAAAAAAAAAAAAAAAAATTCCCTGCCCACGTCTCTCCCCTGCCTAAAGCTTTCACTGGCTTTGTGTCACCCACAAGCCCGAGTTCAAGCTCCTTAAACCAAACCCATTGCTGGCAAGTCAATTTAGACTAATAGTGACCTTATAGGACAGAGTAGAACTGCCCCATCGGGTTTCCAAGGAGGGCCTGATGGATTTGAACTGCTGACCTTTTGGTTAGCAGCCGTAGCTCTTAACCACTATGCCAAAGATCTTCCTGATCTGACCAAAGGTGGGTCTTGCACCCCATGCCCTGCCTCCTTCTGTCATATACTTTATACTCCAACAACTCCAAACTATTTACAGTTAACCAAGAATTCCGTGCTCTCTTATGCCCCATACTTTTGATTTGCAATTCCCTAGTGACATATGATGTAGAGTATTTTTTCATATGCTTATTTGCCATCTGTATATCTTCTTTGGTCATTTCCATTCAGATCTTTTGCCCATTTCTAAATGGGTTGTTTGTTTTCTTATTATTGAGTTTTAAGAGTTCTTGGTATATTTTGGATACAAGTCCTTTATCAGACATGTGTTCTGCAAATTTTTTCTCCCAGTCTGTCTTTTCTTTCTTTTAACAATGTCTTTTGCAGAACAGAAGTTTTAAATTTTAATGAAGTCGAACTTATAATTTTTTTTTTTATGAATTGTGCTTTTGATGTTGTATCTAAAAGGTCATTGCCAAACCCAAGGTCACCTAGATTTTCTCCTATGTTAGCTTCCAGAAGTTTTATAATTTTGCATCTTACATTTAGGTTTATGATCCATTTTGAGTTAATTTTTGTGAAGGATGTAAGCTCTTTGTCTAGCTTCATTTTTAGGCATGTGAATGGATGTCCAGTTGTTCAAGCACCACTTGTTGAAAAGACTATTCTTTCTCAATTGAATTGCCTTTGCTCCTTTGTCAAAGATCAGTGACTACACCTGTGTGAGTCTATTTCTGGGCTCTGTATTCTGTTCATTGATCTATTTATCTCTTTCTTCACCAATACCACGCTATCTTGATCATTATACCTTTAGAGTAAGTCTTGAAGTTGGATAGTGTCAGTCCCCCAACTCTGTTCTTCTCAGTATTGTGTTGATCATGCCCCCATACTATTCAATATGCCAATATGCTAATCACTGTTCTCTGTGCTTCCTTTGAACTGTGCATATCCATCTACGCTTATTGACCTGAGAAAGTATTGTAATTACTTGCTCAGGTCTTTCTTTCCTATCAGACTGTGAGTGCTTGAGGGCAAGGACTGTGAGTTTTTCATCTTTGTGGCCCAGTGCCTAGTACAGCGTCTGGTATCTAGAAAGCACTCAATTTGCATTTATGGGATAAATAGATGGCCAGGTTTTTGCATGGAAGAAGGAAATCTTACAAAAGACATGAGATAGCTTTGAGACAAGGTGTTTATGCAACAGATTCCCCAGAGAAGACAAATTGCCTTTTCCTGAAAGCTCAGAACTTTGAGGAGGGGACTGAGCTGTGGCGAAGTCCAGGTAAAGTGTCTAAGCCAGGAATGAGGAACTTTGGGATGATGTGGGTGACCGCCTGCCAGACTCACTTCTCGTTTCCTCTAGATAAAAGGTCCCTGGGGAGATGGCCTGCTGGAGGCACCTTTACTTCAAGGGTGAGTGGTGTATGATGACGGCTAGAGAGGAGCTCCCTTGCGCGCACTTCACAGTAGATAAAGAGAACATCTCCCTCTGGTCCAAAGGCAAGCACCAGTCACTTCTTCGAACTTCCTCAGTGCCCTGCACCCAAACTAGCTGCTTGCTGGTCCTTCAACAAATGTTTTCTTCTTCTTCTCCCAGCAGAGCCTCCTAGCAAGATGGATTGGCCTCTGGCTCTGAGGAAACCTTCCACCCTGTGTGCCGCATTAACCTTCATGACTCTGGTCCTGCTCACCTCCATCCTGCTGCAGGGTATCCTCTGTGAGTCCTCTGGCTTTATCTTCTGCACTTTGTCCTTCTTCACTACCCAGTGGCACTCTAGACGCCCAGTTCCTCTCTTTCCTGCCCTTCAGTGGACCCCTTCCTCTGGCTTTTCCACTTGTATTGTTTCCTGTCTTTCCATGTGTAGTAACAAGGTCACCTGGCCTGGTAAGATGAGCCACTGCACTTCCCTTTCAACTGCTGGGAGATTTTCCAGATTGGGATCAGTGCTTGCATGTTTGTGCTCAGGGATATGTGTTTTTGTCCCCAGGAAAAGTTTACCTACTTCTTCATCCCCCTTCCCTGAGCTATGCATCTCTTTGATTTGGAGCCTGCAAGCAGCCCCTGGCAGTAAGTGAAATGTCTCCTGGCCCCATGAGGAACTGAGTCCCAAGCATGCCCTCAGCCCCCCAGCTGACTGGGTGGCCAACAAGCTCACAAATCTCCACTGTTTGACCCCCCTCACCAGGACTCCTTCATGGTCTCTTCATTCTCCAGTCCCTGTGAAGATCACCTCATGGGAGTCTTCCTACTCATTCTCTGCATGTGTGACATACCTTTCTTCCTCTTCTGGTTTTGCAAAGTTTCATGCCCTCTGCAGCTTGCCAAGTCTTCTTCCTCCTTCCAGATCTCCAGAAGCACAGGGAGAGAATCAACTGTCTTCTCTCTTCATGGCTTCGAGGCACATGTGGGCTCAGACTTGTAGCCTCTGAGCAGAGCCTCCACCCACCACTTTCCCCATCCGAGACACCTGGTCTCTAACTCGCCTTTTCCACAGGGCTTTCCTTTGAGCCCTCTTGGTTTCTTTTTGTTCCCCCTTAAAGGCACCTGAGCCTGTGACATGAGTCCAGTGTGAAAGGGCAAGGGAAGGGGAGACATGGCTTCATAATTCTTCCTTTCCATGTTCTTTGGAGAAGAAAACACTTCCAGGTTAGGAAGCTACATGGCTGGCCCTCCCTGTGTGGGCAGATGTGGGAGGTGTGCCCTCGCTGACAGCCACCACAGGGGTCTCTGACTGGTGAGGGCTGGGAATCAAGTGATGAGACCAAGAGGGAAGTGGAGCGGTGACAAGGGGGTGATTGAAGACATCCCTTTACAAATGTGCCCTGAAAGCTCAAAGAAAATTCAGACTGGGTTCTAATCCCTGCTTTTGCTTGCCTGTGAGTTCCTCTAACAGAGAACTTATGTTTTATCAATTTTTGTATTGTCTGCATCCACCAGAGTTCCTGGAACATGGTCGGTGTCCATTGCATGTTTACTGAATGAATGCTCTAATAAATGAATGGAGGGTCTGAGGCAGCTACTTGGGCTGGCTTGTTTTCTTGAGAAGCTTGAGCTTGTCCCTTCCCTTCTCTTCCTTTTGTCACTCCACCTCCAGGGATCTCCTCAGTTGACCTCTTGATTTCTCCAATTCAGATTCCTGGTTTTTGGGCACAATATCAGATATAAGGACCAATGCTCAGTTGATGGAAGGGCGTGTGGACAACATCAGCACAGAAGGTTCTGAAATTAAGAGGAATCATGGTGGCCTGAAGGCAGCCAACATTCAGATCCAGAGGGTGAATGTCAGCTTGAATGATGTGCGCTCTCAGCTCCTGAGATTGCAAACTGGTCTGGAGAAAGCCAGTGCAGGGATCCAGATATTAACAAAAAGTTGGGAGGAAGTAGATGCTCTAAATGCCCAAATCCCAGAGTTAAAAAAAGATTTGGATAAAGCCAGTGCTTTAAATGCAAAGGTCCGGGGACTTCAGAGCAGTTTGGAGAATATGGACAAGTCACTCAGACAACAAAGTAAGTATCTCAGCAAATAAGATTGCAAGCCAGCCAGTGTCCATGGGACCTCCCCCATCTCAGACATGAAGATATTGGGCCTGTTGTTGAGGGGAGAAAAGGAGAGGAGCAGGGCCGGCATAGGCTAGAAAGTTAAGAAGAGAGGGCTGAGCATTGGGTGGGAAGGGACCTAGGGGCTGCTCAGGAGAGGAGGGACCAGGGACCGGCTAGGGCTCCCACACCAAGGTACAGAATATGAAAACGTTAGAGAGTTTCTGAACTGGCCCAAGGTAGCCATTTCCCAGTAAGTTCCTAACCTAGAGCCCATGAGTTCAGCCACTTGTGATGGCCAATGGAGAACTGCTTTCCCCTTGTGGTAGAGAGAGATCCTTAACCCATCCTCTCTCACTCTCTCCTCTCTAGCCCAAAGGCTCTACCAGTCTGAGTCAGGCTATCAAAATACGAGAGTGTCCCAAAACCCCCTACATGAGGACCCAGGGACCGCAGGGCTCAGCTTAATTCATTACTGTCTCTAACATCTTATTCAAGTACCCTCACCTAGCCAGCACCCAGAGAAAACAAGAACAGCAGTGTTCACCTTTAGCCCTTGTTCCCCAGATGACATTCTACAGATGGTTTCTCAAGGCTGGAAGTACTTCAAGGGGAACTTCTATTACTTTTCTCGTGTCCCAAAGACCTGGTACAGTGCCCAGCAGTTCTGTAAGTCCAGGAATTCGCACTTGACTTCAGTGACCTCAGAGAGTGAACAGGTGAGTGCTATTCCTATGTGTTCTGGGAAGGGGGACATGTTAACAGCTTGTGGCCTATATCAGTCAGGATGGGCAAGGTTATGCCATATAACAAACAATCCCCAAATATCAGTGATATAACAACAAAGGATTATTTCTCATTTATGCTACATGTCCAGTGAGCACCAGCAAGAGGGTTCTATTCATTATGATTACTCAAAGATTTAGGTTGAAGGAGACTTCATTTCAACATATGTTGCCACCATAGCTGAGGCGGGAAAACGGAAGATGGCAAATTGTGCATTGGCTTTTAAAGCTTCTGCCCGAAAATAACACACATCGCTTCTACTTACATTTCACTGGCCAAAGCAAATCACACAGTACTCCTATCCTCAAAGAGGGCAGGGAGGTGCAATCCTTCCATGTGCCCAGAAAACAGAAATATTTGTGAAAAGTATTAATGGTCCCACATGACCCAAGAAATCTTCTGCCTGGTGAGGCAGAATATTGGACAAAGCCCTTTCATCTGGGAGGCAGAAAAACAGAGTGGGTAAGAGCATAGGCACTGGAGTCAGTCAGAGCCTGGAGCCCCAGTGCTGCCACCCAACTAGTCCTATAGCCTTGGGTAGATTATTTGCCCTCACTAGGCCTCAACCTATTCATCTATGAAACACGTATGATAATAGTATCTGCCTCAGAGAATGAGTAAATGCACATAAAGGGCTTAGCATAGTGCCTCCAAAACCCATTGCCATTTAGTTGATTCTGACTCCTAGTGACCCTATATGACAGAGTGGAACTGTTCCATAGGGTTTCCAAGGCTGTAACCTTTACGGAAGCAGACTGCCACTTCTTTCTCCCATGGAGCAGCTGGGTTCGAACCACCGACCTTTCAGTTAGCTGCTGAGTGCTTAACCACTACACCACCAGGGCTAGCATAGTGCCTAGGGCATATTAATTGCTCAGTAAATTTAGCTATTATTACCTGGGCCATCATCTTGGGGTCCCTGCTCTGGGGTTTAGCTGAATCTTTCTTGCTGTCCAGCAGCCCCTACCTGAGACCTGAGTCTGTTAGTTGCAGGGCAATGAACAATGAGAATTTGGACGATGTGTTCTGGGCTTTGGCAAGGACAGGAAGAGGCTTAAGCGTGGTCAGTGTGAGCAGTGTGTGTGGGCTCAGGGGCTGTCCAGAGGACAGGTGAAGAACACTCAGACAGATGCTCAAACTCTGAGTCATGGCAGCCCCTCTGCTCATTCTGTCTTCCCTACAGGAGTTTCTGTACAAGACAGCAGGAGGAATTTCCCACTGGATCGGCCTGACCAAAACAGGGAGTGAAGGGGACTGGTACTGGGTAGATGACACTCCGTTCAATAAGGTCCAAAGTGTAAGGTAAGCCTCCTAGCCCCCTTCCCAGCCTGACTGTGCTGGGCCAGGTCCAGGGCATGAAGGGCAAATATGGAGCTTGTGATTCTTCTCTATCACAGTGTGGCAGGAGTGTTGGAATGGAAATCTAGCTCACCTCTGCCACTAACTGGCTGGAGCACCTGGGACAAATCTGGGGCCTCTTGATACCATTGGAGTTTGGCAGCACGGTCTTGTACACAGCTTCGCAGGGATCCTCTTCTAAGTCTAGGTCTTTGCAGCACACGTTTGTGCAGGGGGTGAGTGAATGGCGTGCTGGTTTGGCCCTAACGTGGGGGACGATTGAAGGTTTAGAGCTTGAAGCCTCACCAATCCTCTTCCTCTTAGGCTCGGGTGCAGAAACTTCCTACGCTATCACCTAGGACAAAACCTGGGATTGTAGTAACTCATTCCTTTGTTGGAAATATTTTTTTTCTTTTGTTTCCACTTTGTAAATGCATTTTTCTTTGTCTTCCCGCTTCTTAGGTTCTGGATTCCAGGTGAGCCCAACAATGTTGGGAACAATGAACACTGTGCCAATATAAGAGCGGCTTCACTTCAGTCCTGGAATGATGACTCCTGTGACAATAAGTTACTTTTCATCTGTAAGCAGCCCTATATCCCATCAGAACCATGACAGGACTGGCCCCCTCACTCACACTTTGAGCTCCAGTTATTGTGGAACTGGAGAAAATGCCTCCCTCTCTTTCATTCTCCAGGCTGACTGTACACCTACATTTTTCTAGCTTCACAATTGTCCCATAAGCATCCTGGAGTCCAGCTGCCTTGCTGGGAATTCTGACTCCATAGAGGCAGCTGATATGGAAAGCAGAACTTGAGTTAAAATAGGAGGGAATGGTGGACAGGATTTGGATGTTCCCACTGGCTTGGCAAATTGGAACAGGACCTGTAATCTGTGACAACACTCCTGGGGAGCCCCTGAGGAACTTGGTGTTGCATTGCTTCAGAGAAGTGAGTAAGTGGGTCTTCGCATTATCATCAGTCCCTAGGCAGCTCCTCAGGTCATGGACCTCCTAATATTTCTTAGGAAATTCTGGGAATTTTCCTATTGTCAGTTGGAAAGTTGGGAGCCAGGGATCGGTGAGAACTTTGTCTCATTCAACTTGTGCATTTATTTTATTGTATTAATTTTTTTCTGAGTCAGTAGGTTAACAATGCTTGACATGCCCTCTCTCAATGTTGTAATAAAATGCTCTTGAAAAATCTATACTTTTGTATTTGGATAAAAAAGGAGAAAAAAAAAATACTCGACTTGACTCACCCCTACTGACTGACTGAGGCTGGCTCTGGTGAACAGGTACTATGATATTTTATTTTTCTGTCTCCTTCCTTCCTTCCTCCCTCCTCTCTCCCTCCTATCTACCTGCCTGCCTGCCTACTGACCTACGTATTATCTTCCTTTCTTCTTTCTTTTTTTAGTTGTTCTAGCGTTATCTATAAGGAGCCCTAGTGGTGCAGTGGTTAAGGCGCTCGACTGTTAACCAAAATGTTGGCGGTTTGAAACCACCAGCAGCTCCGCAGGAGAAAGATGTGGCAGTCTGCTTCCATAGAGATTTACAGCCTTGAAAACCCTGTGGGGTTGCTATAAGTTGGAATCGACTTGATGGCAGTGGGTTTGGGTTTTTTTGAGCGTTGTATATAGAGGATCCTGGGTGGCATAAACAGTTAAGCACTCAGCTGCTAACTGAAAGGTTGGTGGTTCGAACCCATCCAGTGATGCTGTTGAAGAAAGTGCTGGTGATCTGTTTCTGTAAAGACTACAGCCAAGAAAACCCTATGAAACAGTTCTACTTACTCTGTAACACATGGGGTCACCATGAGTTGGAACTGACTCAATGGCAACAGGTTTGGTTTTCCAGTTTTAGTGTTACATGGGCTAAGTTTTCTTTGCTTTTATTTTCCTAGTGCTTTGGGAAATAAGCTGTTATACAGCTTTTGTTGTTGTTTTTTGGCTGTCTAGCAACTTATTTCCCTTTCCCTCATAAAGCACTCAGCTTCCCTTAACAGAATCATTCCTAACACTGTTGTACTGGTTGGGACTGGGCCCTGGAATCAAGAGCTGCCACTGGCTCCCATGAAGGTCCCACCTGGCCAGGGCTCCAGGCTGCCCCCAGCGGGGCAGGGGTTGCCTCTCTTATGGATTTCAGACCCTCTTTTTCCTTCTACTTCTGTGTTCTCACTCCAGACCTCAAAAAGCCTCCTCTCCTCTCTGTCCCAAAACAACTTTCATTTTTCTGTTCACAGAATGATTGACTATCTTGGGGAGAAAACACACAGGTTACCCAATTAATTATAAATACAATGGGTTTTTAAAAGGGAATTTTTATTGTTCCGTGGGAGCCTAAAGCAGAGACTTAATAAGGCTTTCTGAAGGACAGACACTTAAGCCGAGTCTTGAAAGATGAGAAGGAGTTAGGCGTGAGTGGAGTGGGGACAGAGACAAGGGAAGACAATTCCATACAGAGGGAACAGAAAGTGCAAAGAAATAGTGGGGCATGTTTGAGGAGCCCAGAGCAGTCCATTCTTGCAGGAGGGTGGTGTGAGATGAAGCAGGAGGAGTGGGCAGAGGTCAGGTCATGGAGGGCTTCAAAGTCAGGTGAAGGATTTTGGATTTAATACAAAGGACAAGAGGGAAGTCCTCAAAGTGTTTTAGCAGAAGAGTGACATAATACTGATTGTTTCTTTTTTTTTTTTCTTTTGAAAGAAGAAGAAGAATGACAAATGATTTGTTACACCTACGAGCTTAAACACTTCTAGGAATAACAAGCTCCACAGACATGCAATAAGAGCTGAGTCACTGGAGTACACATTTGTCATACTTTTGTGGTCTTTCTTTCACACTAGTTTTAGATAATTTCCTATATTTTGACTTACACATTCTCAAATTAGAAGCAGAATTAGTATTTGCAACCTTCCTTGCAGAAAGGTATAGATGTGTGACACAGGCCCCACCAGTCAGATTCAACCAGGAGAGACCTTTGATTTGGTTCTGGTGTTTGTCCAGGGCACTGATGGGTTTTAGTGTTGTTGCTCTTAGAAGCATCTCAATGTTGCTGGAGCAATGTTCCTGCCAGCACAGACTCCACAGCTTGACTCTTCGTCTTCTGAGAGTCTGTAAACTAGCTAATGTCTTTTTAAAAAAATAACTGTATTTTAGAACAGTTTTGAATTTATAGAAAAATTGTGAAGATAATACAGGGAGTTCCCATATGCCCCATAGCCAGTTTTCCGGATTATTAACATCTTACTTTAGTGTGGTATATATTTGTCACAGTTAATGAACCCGTATCAGTATGTTATTATTAATGACAAGCCACACTTTACTCAGATTTCCTCAATTTTTCCCTAATGCCCTTTTCCTGCTCCAGGACCCCATCCAGGATACCACATTACATTTAGTCCTTAGGCTTCCCTTGACTTTGACAGTTTCTCAGATTTTCTTTGTTTTTGATGATCTTGACAGTTTTGAGGAGTACTGACCAAGGAGAATGTCCCTCAGGTGGGATTTGTCTGATGTTTTTCTCATAAGACTGGGGTTGTGGATTTTTGAGAAAGTCTACAGAGGTTAAGTGCCATTCTCTTCATATCATATCAAGGGTATATACTATCAATGTGACTAACCACTGTTGATGTTAACCTTGATCACCTGGCTTGAAGCAGTATTTGTCAGATTCTTTCATTGTAAAGTTGCTCTTTTTTTCCTTCCCTTTCCATAAAATATTATTTGGAAGGCACTATATGTAGTTCACACTTAAGGAGTGGAGGATTCTGTTTCACTTCCTTCAGAACAGAGTATATAAATTACTTGGCTTTGTTCTGCATAAGAGACGTAGCTATTTTTCCCTTTTATTTATTTATTCATTTGTATCAGTGGACTCATGGATATTTTATACTTTGGATTATAAGTCAATGTTCTATTATTTTATTTCTCAAATTGTTCCAGCGTTGGCCATTGGGAGCTCTTTTAGTTGACTCCTGTGTCTCTTTGATATACCTCTCAACATTGCGTGTGTGTGTGTTTAGTATTTCTTTACTTTCTGGCACTACAGGCTTATCTTGTATATTTCCTTCTCCAGTCCTAGAATTAGCCATTTCTCCAAGGAGTCCTAATTTTTTTTAGTGGAGAATGGTATTAGAAAACAAGATCTGGGCACTAGGTGTGCTTGTTACTACTGGGGTGCCATTGCTCCTAGGCACTCTCAGATGACAGAGCAAGGAAATATATACGTGTATAACGAATTGTGTTTTGAAAAGATCTTTATACCTGCGATATGAGAACAGGACTGGAGAGAGAGCAAGATGAGAGGCAGGGAGAAGAACAGAATGGTAATTAAATTAAAGTCTGGTGAGTTGACGGTGGCTTGCATTAAAGTCTGTAAATGTGAGGTTGTAAGAGAGAAATTTTTAGTAAACCTTCAACTAGAGAAAAATGTATAACTAAAATCCACATTTCAGCTACATTCAGCAGAATTAAAAGCTGAAGTTAACAATGCCTGACTTTCAGGTCTCTTTTCGGCCTAGCAAAGACAGAAGGAATGTATCTAAGGAGAGAGTCCTGGGGCCAACCTTACTGAAAAGCCTCGCTACCAGGCAATCCTTGAGATATGTTTTACATAAAACATTGCCCGAAGGAGTGTTTCATATCAAACCAGACACTTTTACGACCTACTCTGGGAATGTGTATAGTAAGCATCCTGTGACTATGATTGGTAATCTCTGTGCCAACCTAAATTTCTGTGATTAGCCCTTGTAACCAATTATGTAGCCCATTTGATTACATGTATCCAATAGAAGCCCTTTCCCTGCTTATGACCTCAATTGAAAACTAACCAATTATAATTTCGTTGTAACCTCCTGCCTTAGCCCTGTATTAGCCTTTGTTCTGAAACTCTCTCACTGAAATTGCCATGTTTTCACTTGTGTAAACTTGTGGTTTCCTTAATTTGAATGAATATTTATGCTGAATAAATCCTTGGAATTTTAATTTCAAGGCCTGAGTAGATTTCTTCTATAATAGGTATCATTATTGTTCTTAGATTTGATATGGAGGGCATAAAATCAGGACATTTTGTACTGCTGGATACATTATGTCAAGCAGAAGCTGCTGCTCGTCTCCTGGCTCTGGCTTCCTCTGTTTGGCTTTAGTGTCAGGCAGACTCTCCCTGAGAGTGATTCTAGTAACTCTAAGCCTACAACTTCACAGCTTTGCAATTTTGGAGAAAGAGTTTCTCTTTACCAACAGTTTCAGCAAAAAATCGGGATTGGATCTCATTGGATTGACTTAGGTCACATGCCCATCCCTGAACCAGTAGCAGAGGCAATCATATGTTGATTGAGCCACAAGCTCATTCCTAGAGCTGGGACTTGGATATGGGTTCAGCCTTGCACATACCAGACAGACTGAACATGAGGGAAGGGTGGTTCTCAAGAAAAACCAGGAGGTTGATACCTGAAGAAGGGAGATGCTGGGCTGGCAAGCACAACAGAGCTGCACTCAAGTTTCCAGAAGAGGAAATCCCATATGCAAAGTACTGAAGTGGGAAAGACCTTACATAGGGCCACAGTGACTGATGCATGATGAGTGAGGAGGGGGGTGATGTGAAATGTGATTAGAAT